ACGTTGAGCTCTTTACATTCCCATTCAACCGGGGTATGTGGGAGAACGTCGTCTAAACGTTGAGCTCTTTACATTCCCATTCAACCGGGGTATGTGGGAGAACATCGTCTAAACGTTGAGCTCTTTACATTCCCATTCAACCGGGGTGTGTGGGAGAACATCGTCTAAACGTTGAGCTCTTTACATTCCCATTCAACCGGGGTATGTGGGAGAACATCCTCTAAACGTTGAGCTCTTTACAATCCGCACTTCGCCATGGCTCACAAAAGACGTGTGTTCGATTCCCGATTAGGGAGAAACGTTTATGGAGTATCTCGGTCTGTCTGCTGGGATGGTCTATCCCTCTAAGCCCGGGCTGCCGTGACTGGCAGGGTCAGAGCAGCCCCAACCCCGGCCCCTGTGTCGATGAGGGAGCAAAAACATATACAATAGTCACAGTTTTCTACCGCAAATCAAGCAAAAGAACGTTTAAAAAACTTTCCTTCAACCTTGGGGGCATTCTCTAGTTAGCTCATTCAGACCACTCATTATGGCCTTTGGACTACACTGAAACATGTCCCAGTCAGCAGAATCACCCCCTTCTAAATTATCTAAACTGTGTCCAGGAAGGCGAAAAAACTCCTACATTTAAAAACATGTTATATCTTATGAGATTTTGAAACATATGTAAACTATATTTAGTATTAAATCAGATTGCAGTGACTGATGGAATGAAATATCTGCCCGACCGGCCCGTACAAGTGTTGACTGATGACACAATGTGATACCTAGATAAGTGATGGTCAGTGGAGTGGTACAGTGCTGCTCAGAGGTGCCAAGAAACGTCTACCCATTACCAAATATCTCAATCATGCTCAAAGCTACGTATCCATTAAATTATATACTTGATTAGTTCTGAAAAAGCCCCTCGGTTTTGGAAGGCAAGACTCTAGTGATGGAAGCGTCCCTCTGTGAGGACGGAGAGGACATAATTATAAGCTTGGGTCCTATCTGCAACAGACCAACGGCAACATTTCAAATCATCACACACAAATCTGAAATATGAATTACCATATACCGTAACATTCACGTCGTTGCCTGCCTTTTTAAGTTTCGGGCAAAGAAAACGTAATTGAAACATCAATTCGAATAACGAAAATATTATGTTTCTTTTTTTTAAACTGCCCCAACATGGAACGTCTTCTACACTAAACGTTGTCGACTGATCAGAACGCCGGTAGTTAATGCGTTAAAAACAAACAAAGGGTTATTCTTGTAAATTGCAGCTCAAGATTTCGAGAGGTTAGGTATAGTGCCAGACTGAGTCAAGCCGGTAGTGACCACAGAGTAGAATTAATCATGAACTAACGGTCAGTTCTTACCCGCAGGTCCACGCCAGCCATCGTCTCAACTGGCGGGAAACTTCCTACTTCTCGAACGCACGTCCCTCCCAACAAGTTGTAGAAATGTTCATCTCAGTAGAATCCACCAGAACACTGTCCTCATACAACGCACTTCATAAAGTTACATACATATCTAAAAGCGCGCGAGCCACCTCGTATACATATTATTGTGATCTTCTCAATATAATTTTAAAAGACTACCACCTCCGAAACATATATCATTCGTATTATGATTTAAAAGACTATCTCCGATCCATACATTCTTCTAATTATGATCAGTTTGAAAAGGGCTATTGGGTTCCACGTGAGACCCTTATGTACACACTCGGCTTTGTCCCGTTCAGCGCTGTGTGGATCTGAGTAAATAGATCCCGTGTCCCTCCCTGACACATGTCCCCTCGTTCTGCTCTGCTCAGATTCGTATAGCTAGAGACAGACAGCGCTTTGTTCAGTGGTTAGTGTCCCTCCACCTATTGATCACAGATCGGAAACAGAAGCCGTTCTGCTGTTTGGCAAAGACAGATCAACAAGAAGGACAAAAATCTGATCCTCGTCATGCAGGTATCTGGTGCCGGGGG